CGCGCCGATGGGGTGCTCCGGCGCCTGCTTGGCCGGGTGGTGCCGTCGGCAGAGGCTGGCCGGGCCTCTGATTCCCGACGGCTGTTTTCTGCGTTTTTTTTGCTGTTTGGCTCGTCAGCTACTTCCCCGTGGAGGGTGGGACGCTCAGGAGATATTGTGTTCCCCCTGGTGGGTCATGGGGAGGCGGACCTCTCCAGATCCGGCCCTGACCACAAGCGGAAGGCCGGCGAAAGGACGGCCGCAGGACGGCCGTGGGCGGGGCAAGACGGCGGAAGCCGGAGCGGTGCGTGCAGAGCCTTTCGGAGGTGCGCGTGGCTTTTTTGGGTCGGCGCTGGACTCCCCTGGCGTTGCAGTCTTAGGCAGTAGCGAAGCTTGTCTGTAGGCCAGCCAAAGACTGCTAAGAGCCTCTCGTGGTTTCCACGAAATGTTCTGAGACCGTCTTGTTTGGCTACGTCTGCTCCTTGTTATCAGTGCATTGCATGTGCTCTTACAACATTCTTTCGTTCTAAGAACATGTCGTGGTAGACCTATAGGAATGCCTGGACGGTCGGTCCCTGCTCAACAGTCGCCGTCCCTGGCGTGCTTCGCGGGCCACAAGAGCGCCGACCCAGGGACCGCGCGCGCCACAAAATTCGCGCGGACCTCCGAATGTTACGGTTCATGCGGCTGCTTGCTATCATGTTTGTTCCAAGGTGCCTCTTCCCTGGCTCCGTAGCAGGTTGGGCTCAAGCCTCTTGCATGCTCACGCTTCGAAGTGCGATGAAGCTTGCCGATCCCCTGCTCGCATAATCCAGCACACCCTCCGCGAAAGCACTGCAGCTGTGTCGTGGTGGTGGTAGCGATCCTGCGGCTGTGGCGGTACTGCCTTGGCGCGGAGAGGCGGTAAATTGTGCCACCGACGGTGCCGATTGCCCCTACACGAAGCAGTCTCCGGCTCAACGCGCACAGTAGTGGTTTGCCGTTGTCCAGACCATTCTTACTGCGAGTTGAATCCACACGCGGCAGTGATGTGATCGGATTGACTTCGGGGATCATCCGTGAAATTTTGAACGACACAGAGAGTATTAGCATGGCCCCTGCGCAATGATGACACGCACGCATCGAGAAGGGTATACACAAAAACACGGCAGTGAAGTGATCGAGAAATTACGTGATCCCAGCGATCCCTAAGTCTGTGAGCGCATCCCAGCGATCCCTAAGTCTGTGAGCGCAGCCACCGATTTTTCCGTTTCCCCAGCCTACATCGATATCGTTGCAAAGGGTGGCGCGGTCGGCGATTTCTACAGCGCGGCCATGCTGTACTCTCCCTACGGCGGCCCTTCGTACGGTACCGTCACATGTTGGGCGACCTCGGCGACATACAGGGAGGGCATGTCATTGACCTGTGCGGTTGTCATGTATCGAAAAGCAGTCGACCACCGTGTTACTACCATGTGCCACCCAGTTGGTTGTTGAATCAGCTGGGTCAGGAGGAGTAAGAGGGGGAGGGTTAGGAGGGATAATGGTAGGAGGAGGAGGAGGAGGAGGAAGAGGAGGAAGAGGAGGAGGAGGAGGAGGAGGAGGAGGAGGAGAGGAGGGGAGGGAAGAGGAGGGCGAGGATGGGGGAGGAGGAGGAGGAGGAGGAGGAGGAGGAGGAGGGGAGGAGGAGGAGAAGGAGGAGGAGGAGGAGGAGTAGGAGGAGGAAGGACGAGGAGGAGGAGGAGGAGAATGAGGAGGAGCAGGAGGAGGAGGAGGAGGATAATGAGGAGGAGGAGGAGGAGGAGGAGAAGAATGAGAAGGAGGAGGAGGAGGAGGAGGAGGAGGAGGAGGAGGAGGAGGAGGAGGAGGGGGGAGGAGGGGCAGCGGGAGGAGGGAGCAGCAGGATCCTGTTGGGCGGATTTGCTAGGTTTCAGAGGGATCCGAGGCTGTGGTCCTCATGCTCCTCTCCACCTCCCTCCTCCACCTCCTGCCTCACCCTTGCTCAACCTCCCCCCCGTCCCCATCCTCCTTCTCCTCTTCCCCCTGCCCGCACCTGCTCTACCACCCTCTCCTTCCCCCTCCTTCTCCCCTCCCCACTCTCCCTCTGTCTCCCGCCCTCCCCCCCCCCCCCTTCCCCTGCAGGAGCAGGCCTCCTGGTCCCTGTTGTCTGCCTTCTCGTTGGACGACAACTTGGATTCCGTACTGCTCTCGGAGGCCCGCGCGGACGCTGCGACCCGCCGTCGCCAGTCTGTGTCTAAACGCCTCCTCCACTGCCTGGGGGAAGCGCTCTGGAGAGTGCCCCCCCCTCGGCGCAGCCTCGCCCTCGCCGGGAGCCAGCGGGAAGGCCGGCGGAGGTTGGGGGGGCACTCTGTAGAGGGTTTCCCACCTCCTTCTCCTCTTCCTCCTCCTCCTCCTCCTCATCATCATCATCATCAGCAGCATCATCATCATCAGCATCAGCATCATCGTCGTCATCATCATCAGCATCATCATCATCATCATCATCATCATCATCATCATCATTATCATCATCATCATCAGCAGCATAATCATCTTCCTCATCATCATCATCAGCAGCAGCAGCATCAGCATCAGCATCAGTATCATTATCATCATCATCAGCATAATCATCATCATCATCATCATCATCAGCAGCATCATCATCATCAACATCAACATCACCATCACCATCAGCATCAGCATCAGCATCAGCATCAGCATCATTGTTTGTCATCATCAACATCATCATCAGCACCAGCAGCGTCAGCATCATCATCAGCAGCATCATCGTCAGCATCGTCATCATCTCTTCCTCTTTCTCTTCCGTCATTCGCCATCCGCCATCCGCAAACCGCCATCCTCCTCCTCCTCCTCACTCCCTCCTCCTCCGCCTCCTCATCCTCCTTCTCCTCCTCCCCCCATGCCCGTCCTCCCCCTCCTCCTCCTCATCATCCTCCTCCTCCTCATCCCTTCCTCCTCCTCCTCTTCCGCCATCCGCCATCCGCCATCCGCCATCCTCCTCCTCCTCCTCCTCCTCCTCCTCCTCCTCCTCCTCCTCCTCCTCCTCCCTTGGGGGGTGTGGTGGCGACTGCGCCTGCTCTGCCTCTCCGCTCCCGCAGGGTCCCCCGTCTGAGATGCAGCAGGCCAGGTGCACCGCTCTCGGCATGCTTCACCCGAGGCCTGCCACGAAGCGTCCCCTCAGAGCGCTCTTGGGCTCCTCCTCCTCCTCCTCCTCCTCCTATCTCCTCCTCCCTCCTCCTCCTCCTCCTCCTCCCCTCCCCCCCTTGCAGTGCTCTGAGAAAAAAGGGAGGGGGCGACTCGGCGGCAAGTCCGCCGGCGTAACTTCCGCGGGCGGAGGCGGTCTGCGGACGCTTTGCGGAAGGCGGCGGCAGAAGACATCGCGGGGGGGTGCCGATCGTGGGGGAGGGGATAGGCATACAGTCGGCCCGCATCGCAAGGATGAGCGATGTTTCCAAGGTCGCCCTTGCATCCTTGCCCCTCTCGGCCCATCCTCGGCTGCTTTCGCTGGCCAGCCTCGCTCCAAAAGCGTCAGCATGGCCCTCCCAGGCCCCTGCATCCTTACGGCGCATCCTTATTACACGGGTTGACTGTAGGGGGGGATGCATCGACCCCCAATAGCCCATTGATCGCCGATAGGGGCCCGATAGCCCCAACCTACCCAGTAGCATTCGGATCTACTATCGGGGGCCTATCGCCGATCTATCGGCGATCTGTCGCCGATGCCAGGTCGATGTTTCCCCTGCCCCCCTATGCCAGTCCCCCCATGATCGTTGCCCCTTAACGTTTTTGGATCCAGGGTTTCCGGAGTCGCCCGCCCTGCCACCTCGCCCTCTGTTGTGTCAGTCTCTCTGGGGGCGCCGCGGCCCAGCGCTCGCCCACGCGGCACGAGGCGCGCCCAGGTGCTAGCCGTGCACGCGCCATGAGCCCTCTCTTCCCGGCCCTCCTCCTGCATCCTCCTGCTCCTGCTGCTCCTCCTCCTCCTCCTCCTCCTCCTCCTCCTCCTCCTCCTCCTCCTCCTCCTCCTCCTCCTCCTCTGTCCTCCTCCTCCTCCTCCTCCTCCTTCCCCTCCTCTCTTTTCCTCCTGCCTATACCCCTCTTCCCTCGCATCCCCCTCACATTACCTCCTCCCTTCCTTCCCCTTCATCCCTGCGCGGAATGCCCGGGGCGGGTTCACTGGCGACACCTGACGCCGCGTTCCGACGTCCGCCTGGGGCTGGCGGGCATCGAGGACGTGTTCGCCTCTTCCTCCCCTCCTTCCGGGGTGGCCAGACCTTCGTCGCCGCTGTATGTGCGTAGAGAATCTGGCCTCCAAAGGGGGGATCTGGAGGACTTTACAAAGGATTTTGGCTTCGGGAGCGCGAGCCAGTCGTAATTTGCTAAGGGCTCTGGCTTCAGGAACGCAGATTTGGCTTACTTGTCGCTGGAGTCTGGCTTCGGGTGCGCGGATTCAAAGTGATGTATAATGGATTCTGATTTCGGGAGCGCGAGCCTGGTGAGTTTGATTTGCGTTACCCAGGAACCTCGCTTCGGGAGCACGAAGCGGGGGTAATTAGCAAACGAGGATTTTGATTTCGGGAGTGCGGAACTGGCGTAATTCACGAAGGGTCCTGGCCTCGGGATGGCGCCTTCTGTGCGATTTAGGAGGGGGGTCTGGTTTCGGGAGCGCGAGTTCCGAGCTATTTGCGAAGACGTATTGCCTCGGGCGCGCGAGTCCTTCGTAGTTTTGCCTGCGCGCGCTTCGGGAATGGTGGCTAGAGTGATTGTCGGTTCCCCCCCCTTCGCGCGGACGGGAACAGTTTACAGTAGGGAGCACGGAGTATCACTATAGCATTGGAGCTGGAAGCTGGAACTAGCGCAGGGTGCATGAAGCCTCAACCGCGCAGCCTTGCCCCGCGAGGGAGCTGGCAGATTAGAAATCTTTGAACCGCCTCTCCCACTCTTTCCTCCTCTCCCGCTTCTTCCCCTCTCCTTTGTGTCCCCCCTTCCGTAGCAGTTTGGGCTCACGGCCTTCGCTTCATTGAATGCTTGTAGACTTGCGACCACTCCCTAATGCAGCACTGCCGGAGATGAAATGGCTTCGCTCCGTGGGCCACGTCCAGAATTCGAGACAGCACGATTGCACAAGTGCAATTCAAAAATGTGGCGACGCGAAGCAATGGATTGCGGCTATGAATTTGTTTCGCGACGTGTCCCGAGCAAGCGCGCAAGCAAACATTATTCTGTACACCGTGGCAATCAGCGCAGTTGGAAAATGCGGGCAGTGGCAACGAGCGCTGTTGTTACTCAGCGAAGTGCAAGAGGCAAAATTGGAGTCGTCCACCGTGTGTTGTAGCGCCGGAGTAAGTGCGTGCGCAAGAGCGAGCGAATGGCAACAAGCGCTATCATTGCTCGGCAAATTTAAAGACGTATCTTTGGAGCCTAATGTGATCAGCTATGTCGCTGGAATCAGCGCGTGCAGAAGGGGCGGACGATGGCAGGATGCATTTTCGTTGCTCAGCGAGCTGCGTGAAGCCAAACTAGAGCCGAGCATTGCTGCGTATGGAGCGATAATAAGCGTTTGCGAGAAGAGTGGACGCTGGCAATCTGCGTTGTCATGTCTTTTGGATGCGTCGGAGTCGAAGCTGGAGCTGGACGTCATCACCTACAACTCAGCAATCAGCGCCTGCGAGAAGGGTGGTCAGTGGCAGCACGCGCTGTCCTTGCTCGCTGACCTGCAGGGGGCGAGTTTGGAGCCAGACGTAATCAGCTACAACGCTGGAATCAGCGCGTGCGGGAAGGGCGCGAAGTGGCAGCTCGCGTTGTCATTATTTGCTGACATGCGGGGGGCGGAGTTGGAGCCAGACGTAATCAGCTATTGCGCGGGGATCAGCGCGTGCCAGAAGGGCGCGCAGTGGCAGCAATCGTTGTCGCTGCTCAGAGAGATGCGGGCGGCGAAGCCGAAGCCAGACGTCGTCAGCTACAGTGCTGGCATCGGCGCGTGTGCGAGTGGAGGGGTGTGGCGGCAGGCCTTGATCCTGTTTGGGGAGATGAGGGAAGCCAACCTAGAGGTCGACATAACTACCTACGGCGTCGGGGTCCACGCCTGCGAGAGGGGCGGCAGGTGGCAGTGGGCGCTGTCACTGCTCAGAGAGGCGCGTGATGTGAAACTAGAGCCCGACGCCATCTCTCCTACTCACCGAGCGCGTTCCACTGCGTTCCACTACTCGCAAAGGGCCTGCTCGCAAACGCCCGAAAAACACTCGTCTGCATCGATGCAGTGCATCGTGGACCACCCACGGCGGATCCGGGCCGCTTGCGAGTAGCCACTCTGCGAGCAGTGGAACGCGCTCGTCTGCCCACCATGCCGGCCCCACCGCGTGCCGAACGGACGCCACGGCCAAGTCGACCGAGATCGGCGCGGCCGACCCCGACGCGCCCCCGAGCGCTCCCAGGGGCGCCCCCGGGACCGCGCAGCGGGGCCCCCCAGGACGGCCCGGAGGGCCGTCGAGAGGCCGCCGCCGCCGCCGCCAAAGTGGCCCCCAGCACGGCCCCAGGCGACCTGCGCCCCCGAGCTGACACCGAGGTGGCCCCAAGAGAGACTCCGGGAGCGCTGCGCGCAGGGCCCCGCAAGGCGACACCCGTGAATTCGCGACGCTTCGCGCATCCCCACCAGCCCATCCACAACAGCTATGTCCCGAGGAGCTGGTCAAGCAGGCGCGTAGAGAATCATGTAGTGGAGCATGGAGGCGAACAATTGTAATCTCGGATGCGCCTGGGAGCCTATTGGAGCTACCTTTGAGCGCTTTCGGGGCACTTTGGGGAGCTTTCGAGGCACTCTTGGGACTCTCTTGGGAGCCCCGTGGACCAGTCAGAACCTGAAATATCACCTCTCGGGGCCCTGTTGGGACGCTTTTGGATCGCATTTGGGCGCCCTGAGGCCGTCTTGGGGACCGTTGGGGCCCCTCTTGGGGCTGTCTCGGCCGATCTTGGATCTAGGGGGGCCTCAAAAGGCCATCGGAAGCAAAAAGGCAAGAAAGCCGACATCATTGAGCAACCTTTCCTGTTCAGATGGTTTTGGCATCTCGGGGATGCGATTGGGAGGCAGTGCCCATTTGCAGCCGTCTGAGGGCCGTCTTGTGACCTCTTGGAGGCATACTGAAGGCCGTCTTGAGCTGTCTGAGGCTATCTCGTACCATCTTAGAGGCAGAATTGGGCTACATGGGGCCATGAGACCATTTCTTTATTGCTTGGGGCATGACGGGCGTCATGGCCCCCGCCCCCCCCCTATGACGTAACGCTCCCCCCCCCCCAGTGCGCTCCATGCACTGCCGCCGTGCGCGCTGGGATCCGCGTAGGTGTCCGCGTAAGAATCCGCATAGGAGTCTGGTCCGCAGTCGTCGTCGTCGTCGTCGTCGTCGTCGTCGTCGTCGTCGTCGCCGTCGTCGTCGTCGTCGTCGTCGTCGTCGTCGTCGTCATCGCTCGTGGCTCGTCGCTCATCGTCGTCGTCCGCACGGACGCGGCTGGAGCCTGTTATTTGTTCCGGGCCGATCACGGCAATCATCTGAGGAGATGTGGGGGGGTCGATGACATCATGTTTCGCGCCGGCGGCGTCTGGGAATGCTCAGGAATGACGGAGGACGGGTAGCACCAGCATGTAGGTGGCGATCTGCACCACAACGCCTGTGTACACCACAGTGCCAGCGTGCACCACAGCGCCTGTGTACACCACACCGCCTTTGTACACCACGGCAGCCGCGTGCAACACAGCGTCAGCTTGTGCCACCATGCTCGCGGGCACAACAGCTGTTGTGTACACCGCAGCGCCTGCGTACACCACATCAGCCGTGTGCAACACAGCACCAGTGTACACCATAATGCTTGCGTGCATTGCAGTGCCTGTGTACACCACGGCGCCTGTGTGCACCACAGCAACCGTGTGCAGCACAGCGCCACACTTGCATATCGAATGTTACAAAAATCCGCATGACAAAGTGGAGCGCTGGTGGATTCCACAGAAAACAATACAAAGGAATCCTTATGGACAAAGGAACGCCGCTGGAATCTACGAGTTCTCCCGAATCCGCCCGCATCACCCTAACTTCTCCCATCTGCGTCCAGGAGGCTCCAGCTAAATTGGCCGTGCGAGAACCAAGTGGACCGATTCAATCGACCATTATGTGGTGCACTGCGCGCTGAATTGCGCACGTGCGCTGTAGCGCCACCCCGCACCACAGGGGGTAAGGAGGAGGAGGAGGAGGAGGAGGAGGAGGAGGAGGAGGAGGGAGAGGAGGAAGAGGAGGAGGAGGGGGAGGATGAGGAATGACCATTAGGAAGAGGAGGAAGATGAGGAGGAGGAGGAGGAGGAGGAAAAGGAGGAGGAGGATGAGAAGGAGGAGGAGGAGGAGCAGGAGGAGGAGGACGAGGAGGATGAGGAGGAGGAGGAGGAGGAGAAGGAGGAGAAGGATGAGGAGGTGGAGGTGGAGGAGGAGGGAAGAGGGAAGAACGTCGCATTCGATTATCAGCACTGTCCCGCACGCAGGCACTGGTGTACAGTCGCGCTGCGTTGCACGCGGATGCTGTGGTGTAGACAGGCGCTGTGGCGTGCACAGGCGCTGCGGCACACGCAAGCATTGTGGTGTACACAGGCGCTCTGTTGCACATGGTTGCTGCGGTGTACACATGTACACCGGCGCTGTAGTGTACGCAAGCACTGTGGTGCACACAGGCACTGCGTTGCACACGGTCTTTGCGGTGTACGCAGGTGTTGTGGTGTTCGCGCGCGTTGTGGTGCACGCGAGCGATGTGTATACAGGCGCAGTGGGGCATATCGCCACCTACATTTTGCTCGCGTCGTCGTCGTCGTCGTCGTCGTCGCTCGTCGCTCGTCGCTCGTCGCGTCGTGCGCGCGGGCGCGGCTGTGGTGCCGGAACCACACGGCGGGGGGGGGGGGCGTTACGTCATACCCCCCCCCGCCCCCCCCCCATGATGCCCGTCATCGCCGAACATAAAGAAACGCTCTCCATCTTGGAGACACCTTGGGCCATCTTGGACGCTTTGACCGCTCGCGGAGCCCCAGACCCCAGGAGAGGGCCCCCCCCCCGAGAAGGCGAGCGAAGTCCTCCAGTGGCCTGGCGGCCCTGGGACAAGCGTGTCGCGGCCTCCAAGACGGCCCGAGACGGCCCCAGGATACAGTGAACATTGATAGTAAGGATGATCGATTTCCCAGGGGTACACAATGTTCATTGCTAATTATTCGAAGGTTCTTCTTTGAATTTTGGGGGACCAAGATCATGTCATGTCTATTTGTTTTATCCTGGGCCTCTTCCTGGCCACTGGGGGGCCAGGCACACTTAGAAACGAGCACAGTTAGAAATGAGCACGATTAGAAATCAACGACGTGTACCCTTGCATCCTTGCCTTTTCGGTCATCCTCGGTCAATCCTCCACCACTTTCGATGGCCAACCCCGTTCGAGAGGCTTCGGCGTGGGCGTCCAAGGCTCCTGCATCATTATCGCGCATCCTTGCAGTCAGTTGTTTAACGGTAGCCCAGGACGACCAGACAAGACAAGACAAGACAAGACAAGACAAGACGAGATAATACCTAACAGGACACGTTAAGACAGCCTCCATGTCGGCCCAAGATGGGCCCCATAGATGCCGACGACTGTCAAATTCTGTACGCAAAAATATGTATCCTGCACTCCTGCTCTTGCCTTGTCGCTGACGAAGGGCTCCCGCGGTCTCAAACATGGCTTCAAGAGGTCCACAAGAGAGCGCCACGACAAGGCCAGCAGGGTTCAAGGACGGCCCCTGAGGGCTCCAAAAGAGAGGCCCAGGAGGGCACCGAGAGGGCCAGAAGGCAGTGCACATGTTCAGAAGGCCAACGAGGGCCGGCGTCCCCCGTAATGTGTGCTCAAGTTGTTATTGACGGATTTTGGCACCGCGTTGGTCTGGGAGGGCGTGCCCATGAACGTCCCCGATGCACCTCAGACGGCCAAATCGACCGGGCAGGACAAAACACGACCAGACAAGACGAGACGGGGTGATAGAATACGAGGCAAGCTCTTACAAGACACGCCAGCACAGCCTCCCATTCGGCCAACCAATGCCCCACCATGCCGCCAGGGGGCCCGAGAGAGGAATCACTCTCAAGCCCCATACGACAACGTATGCCTGCCCTCTCGCCAGTACTACGCTGCCGATGGGCTCCTGTTGTAGCTTCAAGAGGACCCTAAGAGAGTCCGAGTGCAGGCCCGGCAGGGGACTCAGACGGCCCCAGAGGCCTCCACGAAGGCCACATGGGAGGCTCAAGTGGGCCCCAATCCGTTTAAAGCTTCGGAAAGGCCTCCAGGGGAAACTCCCTCAGAGCCAAAACGGCCCTCGGACGCCCCCAAAGAGGCTCTCCAGAGGCCCTCGAGAGGACCCCAAGATGACATCAAGCAGCCCCACGAGGGCGCCAGGAGGCTTCGCTTGGCGGGGGTAGTCTTCCAGCGTGCGGTAGGGGGAGGGATAGCGCCCTCCCGAGACGGTAGCAAGCATATTGCGAAGGCCTCACGGCCGTGATGCCGCCGACCCTGCAGACGGAGACGACGAGCAGGACAAGGACGTTGAGGAGCAGGAGGGGGATGACGTCGGGGAGCAGGAGGGGGGAGCAGGAGGGAGGAGGAGGAGGAGGAGAGGAGGAGGAGGAGGAGGAGGAGGAGGAGGAGGAGGAGGAGGAGGAGGAGGAGGAGGAGGAGGAGGAGGAGGAGGAGGAGGAGGAGGAGGAGGAGGAGGAGGAGGAGGAGGAGGAGGAGGAGGAGGAGGAGGAGGAGGAGGAGGAGGAGGAGGAGGAGGAGGAGGAGGAGGAGGAGGAGGAGGAGGAGGAGGAGGAGGAGGAGGAGGAGGAGGAGGAGGAGGAGGAGGAGGAGGAGGAGGAGGAGGAGGAGGAGGAGGAGGAGGAGGAGGACGAGGAGGAGGAGGAGGAGGAGGAGGAGGAGGAGGAGGAGGAGGAGGAGGAGGAGGAGGAGGAGGAGGAGAGGGGGGAACTGAATAGGAGCAGGACGAGGCGAGCACGGCCTGGGGCCTGGGAGTCCTGGACTTTTTGGGGGGCTGGTTCCTGGTGCTGGGTCCTGGCAGGATGTCCTCGGGGCTGGGTCCTGGAGGGTCCCGGGGACCTCGGAATTGATTCTGGGTCCTGGGGTGTCCCGTGGCCGAGCGTCCCGTCCAGGAGGCCGGTTCAGTTCTGGAGGGGGACGGAGGAAAGAGGAGAGATGAGGATGGAGGGAGGAGGAGGAGGGAAGGAGGAGAGGGCGTGGTAGAATGCCTCGGCTCTTGGACCGTCGTTCGAGGCTTTGTGTGGGCCCCGGGACCCCCAGGGGGAGAGACGTATCTGACGCGGGACCCGCCTGGGACCCCCCCCCGGGCTCCCCCCCGGCAGGGAAGGGATCAAAGGGAAGGGGCTCCCTTTCGACTCAATGACAACGTTGTTCTTGAGGGGGAGGCCCTTGAAAAGCGGGGGCGGAGCGGAGACAGGGAAGAGGGGGGAAGAGGAGGAGGGGAGACGGGCCCAGGGAAAGGGGGAGCGCAGGGACAGGAGACGACTGGCTCAGGGAAAGGGTGGGCGCAGGGACAGGAGACGACGGAGACGACGACGAACGAACAACGGGAACGGACAAGCCCCTCACACACGCCGACACACGGTCGGCGGATTTGAAGACTTGTTGCCCTAAATCACCCACGCCCAGAGGCCCGGTGAGACTTCGCGTGTGAGCTTCGTGCATTTTAGGCACCCTCCGATTCTCATCTCCAGAGGGCTCCAAGAGTTGACCCAGAGCCCCCAAACAGAGCCAACAAGGCCCACGATACTTCTCGGGCGGCTTACGACGCCCCCAGAGATGGCCCAAGATAGCCATTGCACGTGTCCAAGATGGCCTATAGAGACGACCCGCAATACAGCCGAAGACCGCCCAAAGATGGCCCCAAACCCTTCCAGGCAGCCTGCAGACCTCACATAATAACCCCATACGGCCCTCACAAGAGCCAAAGAAGGCCCTACCGTAGCCTACAACATTGTTTTCAATTGCCCGAAGGCGGGCCCCAAGAAATATCTGCTCCTTTGCAGCGCGCGGCAAAGCGCGGCAGCGACTACCACCGAGCCAGGCATGTGAAGCACGCGGCGGCAAGCTATCAGGCCAAAAGACCTGGCTACCTTGAAAGCGGCACTGCAGGCGTAGTCAAGGGCGTAAGCGATTTTCGCCTTTGCATGCTTTTAGTGAGCTTTCGCGGCCACAGGATTCCGCTCAGATCAGGCCGCTCGCTGTGGACTTGAAGCACGGGTGCAGTTCAGTCAGCTACAACGCTGGAATCAGCGCGTGCGAGAAGGGCGGGCAGTGGCAGCAGGCGTTAGGGCTGCTCGGCGATATGCGGCGGTCGCAGCTGGAAGCAGACGTGATCAGCTACAACGCGGGAGTGAGCGCTTGCGAGAAAGGTGCGCAGTGGCAGCATGCGCTGGCGTTGCTCCACGAGCTGCGCGAGGCGGAGCTGGAGATGAACGTCATGAGCTGCAGCGCGGGGGTCAGCGCGTGCGCGAACGGCGGCGTTTGGCCGCGGGCGCTATCGCTGTTTTTCGAGATGCTGGGGGCGGGGTTGGAGCCAGACGTCGTTAGCTATGGGTCCGCCATCAACGCGTGCGAGGAGTCTGGGCAGTGGCAGAGCGTGCTCTCGCTGCTCGGCGGCATGCGGGAGGCCAGGATCGAGCCGGACGCTGGCGCCTACATCATGGGAAGCAAGGCGTGCCTGAAGGGCGGCAGGTGGCAGGAGGCGCTCGTGATGATAGGCCGGTCGTTTGAGGTGGAGCCAGAGCCGAACGTTATGATCTATTCCGCCGGAGTCAGCGCGTGCGAGAAGGGCGGGCAGTGGCAGCGGGCACTGTCGCTGTTTCGCGATATTGCGGAGGCAAGTCTGCAACCGACCCCCTTTTGTTTCAGCGCTGGCGTCACCGCTTGCGAGAAGGGCGGGAACTCGCAAGAGACGGTCTGGCTGCTCACGGGGCTTGGCCACTCTGCTGCGCTCAGGTTGGATGGTGCATGTTGTGACAGATCACGCCAACAAGTGGTGTCCGTTCTTGCCAGCGGCGGGTCTGCGGAGAGCCTGATGGTATGTTCTCCTGCTGCTTCGAAGGCAAGTTCAAGTTGGCATGCTGCTGGCACCTGCTCCCCATCCTCCTTTTCTCTGCCCCTCCTTCGGAAGATGAGCAGAGAGGATAATAGAGGAGGATGAAAAGGTGGGGAGAGAGGGAGAGTAAACGGAAGAGGAGGAGAAGTGAGGAGGAGGAGGAGGAGGAGCAATTTCAAGAGGACGAGCAGGAAGGAGGAGGGCAATGGTGATGTCAGATCGTGCTTGTCCAGCTGACTGTGTAGTGTTCACCCATACGTCGCCGCTCGGCTCAAGGTGAATTTGATGTTGTAAAGCAGCGCGGCACGTCCGTGAAAAGCAGTAGTGATGTCAGCGGTCGTCCTGCAACACATGTTCCTGGGACATGTGCGTGGAAGTGTAGCTAGGTTATCATGACGACAGCTCAAGCGCAGCGATCAGTGGTACCACAGCTCCCATACAATCGTGAAGAGTGATACGAAGTAAGTGTCAGCACGCTTGGCGAGACATGCGTGATTGCATCAGATAGTGGAGGATACTGATCCATATAGATGGCCATCCACGGCAATCAAGCTTGGACGGGGCAGCGAACAAAACAAGATAGCACACGCGAGCTATTCATAATCACACAGAGTGCGCACACACAACACGGTCGTTGGTAAGTGCGGTCAACTTGGAGAACGGACACCAATAACAAACCAACACAGTTGACAGTGATTGTCAACAGTTCAGGGGCATGGAACATCCCAAGCATGGAGAGTATTAGGCACTCACCAGTGAGCCACAGGCCATCCATTTGTTGAGGCCCTTCTCTGAGGATCGAGGCAACTTCGAGAACATTATATATATATGATAAGCGAGCGCGCACATCTGATCGAACAATGGATTCCGGAAGTCGCCGAACATATTGTGGACACAGGCTGGGACGATGGGAGGGGCGCCACAAGAACCAGACAACGAATAGATGCGGGAGTTGCCACATTGATGGGCCATGCGGGGTGAATATGACAAGCTTCGCCAGAAGAGAACGCCGAGGGCGACCACGGATGCGATTGCGAGTTCGTTATCGGTGATGGGGGCAGAGCTGGACGAGTCGCCCGCGGCGCATCTCGACAGGGCGCTTTCAGGCGCAGAGCCCAGCGGCACACTCCGATTGGTCAAGAGAGGCGGCGGGCTCGCAGCAGACCTGAACACACACACACACACAGACGTTGTGCGCACCAGCTTCAGTGTGATGTCAGCACCAGCCATCGGCGGCGAGCGAGGGGGGGAAGTGGGAAGGAGAAGGCCTTCCGAGAAGTTCTCTGAGCCTTCCCCGACGGCGCATCACACTTCTCAAAAGGCGCGAGGGCTTCTGAGAAGTCCCGCCGCCTTCCGAGAAGGCCTTCTCCTTGTCATTTCCCCCCTCGCTCGCCGCCGACAAGAGAATGCATGTCTAGTTGGAGCAGTCGGCTGCTTTAGCCAGAGGTTGGGGAACCCGTAGCTGCAAGCTCGTGACCGTTTCCATTCGGTTCCATGTTGCTCAGGACCATCATGACCTTCGCTTGGGAGTGTTTTCATGATCGGTAGCAAGCTTGCTACACAACGCCCGAGTTGTTGCCCGCCGGTAGGAAAACAGCGGTTGTGCGACAGGTGCGACCATCAAGCGATGAAGAATATCTCACGCACATGCGCGAGACGAGCAGTTGTTCAAGGGACACAAATGGAATCCACAACCAAGCGTGGCTTGACCCGCGGGGAGGATAGAGTTCCATAGTATACGATAGTAACAGCCGGAAGAACTGTAAATGGAGACGTGTGGATTATTGACAAGAAGAAGCTACCGAGAACAGGACAGCCCAGGGGATAAGGATGTGGCCAACAAAAGAACAGGCTCAGGAAGCAGTTCGCAGCGTTGCACGCACGCTGCGACACTGCGCCTAAGTAGATACTGCGAAACATCAGGACACTGCAAGTGCTGCTGAGCCCGCTCCAGCTGGGACTTGGCGCTGGGGCCCGACGGCAAAGGCTTGCCGCGGGCCTCGCGCGCGGCTCCAAGGCCGTCGGCGCCGTAAGCGCCGCGCGTGCTGCACAATGCAATCACCGTGTGAGCCTCCCGTCGGGCGCGCCTCGGTCGTGCGCTTTTGACGCGGGCGGCCTGGCGCGCAGGAGGTCATCGGGTCTTGGCTCGACCATCAGAAGTTGCCCGCCCCACGCCCGCTTGCCAACGAACCCAGCTGGCACTCCCCCGTGTCCACCTGCTCGGCATCGCTCGGACGTGTGCACTTTTTCGGCGAGAACCATCGAGGACCATCCTGGACCATCGAGCAAGAAAAACACGCACGAAACCGAAACATGCACGGGAAATGGACGTCCGAACGACGGTAAGCTTGCGTCCGAGCCCGCTCCCCCCCCGAGTCTGCCTCTGCGCGGGAGCCGCGGAGCGTATCGCTGCAGAGGCCTGCGATGATCGAGCAGGGTCTGCCCTGCACAGAGATGGTCTTCGACGTTGCCCGGGTGCAGATCTGTTTTAGCACACGCCTGGGCGCATATAACATGCGTGAGCGCAAGTTCGTCCAGGTGTCATAATACTGCGCCTGGACGAACTTGCGCTCACGCAGCGCCGCTCCGAGCCCACACGGCCACAGAGCCGCGGGGGGGGCGTGCTGGCCGGTGGTGCTGCGCAGCATGGCGCAGGCCTCTGCGCGCGCGTCGGCCGATCTCCCCTTCGCTGCAGTTGCCCTTGCTCCTCCTCCTCCTCCTCCTCCTCCTCCTCCTCCTCCTCCTCCTCCTCCTCCTCCTCCTCCCTCTCTCCCCGCTGCCTTGGTGGCGTTGAGCCTCCGCACCTCTTCGCGGGAGCGCTCGCCGTGCCCCTGCCCCGACCTCCTCGGGCTCGCCGCCGGCCGCAGCTCGGGCTCGCCGCCGCGTCGCTCTGGACCGCCTCGGGCAGCGTCGGCCCACTCATTGGCCCTCCGCCCGCACGCGGCGGTCCCGCCCACGCCCGTGGAAGCCGCGCGCGACGACGCCCAGGAATGCGGAGAGCCTGAAGCCTCGAGGGCGCTCAGGAGCGAGCTCCCGACGTGGCCCCGAGGAGACCCGCCGAGGCCCCCGTGCCGGCGCCTCCACTGGGCTCTGCGTGCAGACTGGCTCCTGGCTCTGACATCACTTGCGACAGCGCGCTGGCGAAGTTCACAACTTGACGCATGCCGACTTGCGGTTTGAATGTAGCTTATTGTCCCTGTAGTTTTACGTCATCATAAGTAGAAACAAGGGCTCATGAGATCTCAAGGGCTTTAAAGACAACGGACTCCCTGGAGAGGACCCTTGGGCGCAACTCCTGTGATCCTGCAGTCCTGCAGTTCTGAAGTCCTCGAATCCTGGAACTGTGGACTCTGCTGTGGAACTCCAGGAGTCCAGGATTCCAGGCCTGTTCCAGATTTCAGGCTCACGCTGCGTTCGCGCTGGCCACGAGAGGCGGCCTCCCGCGCGCGCTTGGCGTGTCCTCTCCGCCACCGTTCCCCCCCCCCCCACCCACCCCTCCGCACGCGACCTCGCAGAGGTACGCTGACGGTACGCCAAGGAAGGTACGCTGCGGGTAACGCTGAAGGTACGTACATGTGAAGGTACGCTGCAGGCGCGCTTCATCTAAGCTGAAGGTGTCAGCTCTGACCAATAGCAGAAAGTTTGGAGGCACATTTCTATGTTTTGATTTTCTTTCTGAGATTCGTAGATCGGCGGTTGGAGGCGTACCTGCAGCGTACCTTCAAGGTACGCTGCAGGTACGCCGCGGCATGCGGATGCGCTGATGGCACGCTGATGCCATGCTGAAGGTTACGCTGCAGGTGTACGCTGCAGATACGCTGTCCCTCCTGCCCCTTCTCTTACTCCTCCTCTTCGCCCCCCTCTCCACCTTCCACCCTCTCCTCCTCCTCCTCCTCCTCCTCCTCCTCCTCCTCCTCCTCCTCCTCCTCCTGATCCTTGCCTCGTTGCTACCTTCGACTGCATCCTCTCCCCTCGTTAGTCATGCCCATCCGATGGTTTGACAGCGCGCGCAGTGTTCGCATGTTCTGTGTTCCGAGAGTCGTCGTACATTTTCACACGATTGCACACGTGTTCAGAAGTGTCCGTCAGTTTGTCGTGCACTTGCATGTTCAGATGGGTAACTGTTTGCATGTTCGCCTAATGTGGTGCAAATTGTTCTGAATTGCCGAATCGTTGCAGGTCTGATTGCACAGTGTATGACACATTGCAGCCAGTTGCAAGTTTCCGAGCAGT